ATTTGTAAGTAATTAACATTTTTTTGCATCAAAAAATTCTATTAGAAATCATGGTTTCATCAACAATTGATATCTGCAGGGAAAAGGATTTTTGTTTTCTTCTCCAATTTCTCACCAGCCACCATTAATTTTTTTTTTTATTGTCCAGTCTGGAGAATCAAAATGCAACAGGTTGCTCAGAAGTGAATTTTACATTTTTTTCTTAGCCTGTTTTGAAAAGTTAATGTAAATGACACTTTGTACTAGAACTGCCAGCCCAAAATTGGATTCTTCATAGTGTTATGTAAAAATATAGGGTTGAAATGGGACAAACAAAGGTCTTGGCATTTTGGTTCTGACTTCTGGCAATTTTGTTTTGTTTTGTCAAAATGTTCAATGGTTTATTCTCTTTTGGAATGGCAAATTATGTTGCTTCCTTTGGTCCGAATGATTAGCCGGTGATTGAGGTCCCACAAGGCTGTCACAGTTAGGATGAGAAATCAGTGAGATGGGTATATTCTTTGGGGTATTCTTGCTCGTTTACAATCACATATTCGATAGTCCTGTTTCCCTGCATATACTGTAGACCACAGCAAGTGGCTCTGTTACTCAAAAGCCATGTGCCCTTCTCCAGCAAACTCTGTCCCTTAGAAATTCTGTCTCTCTGCTCCCTCTCAGAGTCACACTCACAACTCTTTCTGTGGGGTATGAAAACTCTTTACTTTACAACTCTACCTGTAAAGCACACAGCTTGGTGGTGCTATCCTTTCTTCCATGTGGCTGAGCTCTGATCTGTCATGCAGCCTAATATTTGGGTCCATGTCCCTCCATTGATTGCAGCTGTTCTTACTGTATTGAGGGGTTTCATTGCTACCTCTGTAAAGTCTGAAGGAGAATTCTTGCTCCTTTGGATGGCTGTTGGTAGCATCTTCCAGCATAATGGTAATTTTGAAATGTCCAAAATTCTTAGCACTGGGATTCACCTGGCATCTGCTGTTCAGACCCCAAGAGAAATGATCAGAGACCAAGGAAAGGAGGCATCAGTGTCTAGAGACATGAAAAGACTTAGGGCCATATCCCATTCCACCAACAAGGTACTGAAGTCTACTTCACCACCTGAGTGTGACTCTATTCCACCCTGCTTTAGTTCTTGAAAAATGGCTAAAGTGTTGAATTTTGTACATCACTGTAATCATAGCCTTAAGATCATCCCAGTTACAACATCACTCTCAACTAAGTCACAAAAGCAGCAAGGAAGATAATGTTTCCCGCACCTTTTGTGTTAATAGCTTTTCAGGGATCATGCAGAGTAGAACAGGATCATACTTTGGTGCTTAAATGGATGTAGAGATGCACAAATCTAGACCTCTTGGTTCAGAGATTATACTTTTTATTAGACCTGAGAAATTGCCAGAAAAAAAAAATCTTTTCCTGCAAGCTTTTGGACTCACACACCCTTCCAAAGGCAATGCATAGGGGGTCCCCTGAGAGCACCGGTGCACCCCCTGACTGGCTGCACTTGCCACCTAGGTGATAGGTAGGGGGAAAGGTGGGAGTGCTGATGCCCACCCTGCAAGCGCCAGCCAGGGAGTGGAGTGCCATTGCACTCCCAGAAGCGGCCGCAGCCACTCTCAGAAGTGGATTCAGCGATCGGCTGTGTTAAGGAACACCTGCCCCCCACTTCCCCCCCAGTCAACAAGATCAGCCGAGGAGGGATTGCCCCCTCTCCAGTTACTGACTGGTTGCTGGGGGTGAGGGGGCATGTGCCCCCCCCTCCCCCAACTAAGGTGGCACCAGTCGTCCATGTACCCTTCATCAGGCTCAGGGAAAAGTAAAGATGGTAAGAAGTCCCTGTAGGTAGGAAATAAACTTCATTTTTGCATAGAGGAAGCTGAAGATGAAACTCTGTCCCTCTGGGTCCATGAGAGTGTCTTTGTGAGTCCCTCTTTGCTGTGCAGATCAGGCATGATTCCTTCCTGGATGGTTTCAGATGGCAAGCAGGGAGGTGTAGAAATCTTCCGTGTTGTCCAGCAATGAAGTTTAAAATCCAAAATTGGCTAAAATTCAGCATCTTCCATGTTTCAGAGATGTATTTGGTAGCCGTGTTGGTCTGAGACAAAAAGAAATGCAAAACCTACAATTCTTTTTTCAGACAATAAATGGATATAGGCATCTAAAAGATGGGACAGAATGAGCCCCTGAGTTTCTTGGAAGATCTGTCAGAAAATAAGGGACTTGAAAGATCATTTAGTCCAGCCCCACGGCAGGATCAACTGTTTTCAAACTATACCTTGATGCGTCTTGAATCTCCAATCCTATGTATTCCATAGATTTCATCGATTTCATAGACATTAGGGCTGAAAGGGACCTCGGAAGATCATCAAGTCCAGCCCCCTGCCCCAGGGGCAGGAAGTCAACAGGGGCCAAAGGATCCCAGCAAGATAAGCATCCAGATGTTTATTAGAAGAGTCCAGAGCAGGTGCTTGCACCACCTCTGGCGGCAGTCCATTCCATGCCTTGGGGGCTTGGACAGTAAAAAGTTCTTCCTTGCATCCAGCCTGAAACGGTCTTGAAACTATTCCACACCTTTTCTAGGTAATATATTCCTCTATTTACCCATCCTTACAGCGTGTATCTACACATGCTATTTGCATGGAGCAATAAACTCTGGTGCATATCGTGCCAGCGTTTATTGCTCCCAGGGGCCGTGTTTGAACATGCACACAGGACTGCAGCATGTTGAGCCAGGTCAGAGCAGCTGACTGGCAGAGGGTCTGGAGGGGTCAGCCTGCCACCTTGGGACTGATCTGACCCAGCTCAAGGTTTTGTGGAAGGGCTGGCTGGGACATGAGGATGCTCCAGTGTGGGTTTAGCCAGCAGGCAGCCCCTGCACTAACGCACCCTTGTGCCCCAGGCAGCCCCATCAGCGTCTCCATGTGCAGAGCGGTGCACTAAACAACTCCACCATAGGATAGTACTTGTATTTACAAGTACTAATCTGCAGTGGAGATAAGCAGTTTCTTGAGGCCTAACAGGGCTGCATGTATAGACACTGACTTTACTGCAGAGCTAATTAAGCAGCTCTGTAGTAAATGTCTCATGTAGATGTGCCCATGGTTAGAAAGTTTTTCCCAATGAGTTGCACTGCTTCACTCAGTAGAGAACAGAGCAGCTAGAATGCACCTGACACTTCAGCTTATGAATTCCTTTTCTAATATTGTATCATTTTAAGGAAGAATTAGGTGCGTGTCTGCAGGGGAAGGTGCTGCTGCCACCATTCACTTTTCCTTGCAAAGTATCGTCAACCCAAGCGCTGAAATCTTGTGGTCGCACATGAAAAGTCAAACATGCAATGACCACACTAGAAATAAAATTCAACTAGCTAGAACTAAATTAAAAAAAAAAAAGTCTATTGATCAAACAAGTATAGCGTTCGATCAAGTACAGCGTAGAATAGCACTCCCCAAAATCTGGGGCTTGCCACTTGGAGCATGAAGGATTTATTGTCCAGAATCTCAGCCTTTCTGTTACAAAATAACTAACTTTCTAGTGCAGATTTCCATCTAAGCAGGCAAAGAGCTTGAAACAATACTCCACTGATTTCAGTTGGACCTAATTTGGCCCATGTGCTATTTTCAGGGAGAGCACTGTTAACTATTTCACTGCTCCTCAAAAATGTGAGGAAGAAGGAAAGTCAAATTATGCATGTGCCCACATCTCTCTCCTAATGCCTTGCATAAAACGCCAACAGGAAAGGAGGCACAGGTCTATAACAACATACAGAAGTGCTGGAAAGGGGGCAGCAAGTACAAAGGTGGATCTAGGGGGTGCAGTGGTGTGGAAACACCTCCTTTTGGATCCTATCTCAGGAAGCAGCAGGGATTTTTTAAGTCCACAGATCAGGTAACCATCCCAATAAGTTGGGCAGGTACACAGCTCTGTGTGTGCCTACCTGAGAGCAAGCATTGAAAGTGTAGCTGTGCAAAAACAGAAGCGGGACTCCCATGCTTTAACAGAATAACCTAATGGCTACAGCACTCAACCAGGACAAAGGCACCCAACTCTAGTGCAGTCTTTATCCAGGTGGGTTTTGAAGCTACTTTTCTCAGATTTCATAGCTCACTATTCTGACCACCATGTGAGCTGGACCAAGTTATATTCTGTTCCTCAAAGGACTTGGAGACCTAGCTTTCATTAAATGACTGGCAATAGCAACTCCAAATTCCCTAGTGGTTTGGCAAATTTACCCCGTGTGTTCCAAGCTTTGTCCCTTTACAAAGACATCTATGACGAGCTTAGTTTTCAGAAGATGGTGAGACCTTGCTCATTGAAAACACCCCTGCCACTCTTTTGTATGCTGCAGTCCTGTTAAATCTGAGGTCACAGAGAACTGGATTTGATGTGTGAAGCTTCCCATAGGCAAATAGGTGCCTACTGAGCTTTTGAAAATTACCTCGGTGCTGGACTCCCATCACAGCCTTCGGGAGGCAGGCACTTTGACTGCTTAGGTGTTTCTGAAAAGCCTTTTACTTTCTGTGCCCAAATGACAGCTACTCCACCATGTAAGTGTTGGTTTTGGCACTTATAGCTTGCAATGCCCTTCCATGTGCAGTGTAGATGAACAAGCAATCGCAGGGCCCCTGAACATGTGCACTGGCTAGGAAGGTACACAGCACCTTGTGCACATACCTTTCTGGACATGAGTCTAGAAACCGTAGCAGGAAGGCCCTCCCATGTCCAAACACAATAATGGAAGCACTCCCAGAGGAAACAGGTGAGCAACAGTATATTACTTGGGCAAGCTCACATGATTTGCTTTTATCTAGCAGTCTGTGCCCAACCAAGCTAACAGTCATGCATTCAGCTTCAGGCTTAGAGGTGCATGCATTTCAAACACAGGCTGCTTGTTCATTGCCAGTGGATAATGAGGAAGGGTATCTTTCAGAGCTAGAGGTTGTGGGGTTTGTTCCTCTGGGTGGTTGTACATCACAATACCATCCTATCTCCTTGTGCAGGCAGAGATGGATCAGGACAACCTCACATCACCAGTGACTGAATTTCTCCTGCTTGGTCTCTCCCAGAGTCACCAGACCCAGCTCTTCCTCTTCATCCTTTTTCTGGCTGTCTATGCCACCACATGGCTGGGGAACCTCATTATAATCAGCACGGTGATCTCTGATCCCCGTCTCCATACACCCATGTACTTTTTGTTGGCCAACCTCAGTGTAATCGATGTCAGCTTCTCCTCTGTCACGGTCCCAAAGCTGCTGGATCATCTGCTCCTGGGGGGCAGGACCATCTCCTTCAATGGATGCATGACTCAGATGTTCTTCTTCCACTTGAGTGGTGGTGCTGAGGTTTTCTTCCTCATAGTCATGGCCTTTGACCGCTACTTGGCCATCTACAAGCCCTTGCACTACTTGACCATCATGAACTGGGATGTGTGTATTGGGCTGGTGGCTGGGGCCTGGCTAGGTGGTTTTGCCCACTCCTTCATCCAGGTTGCCCTCATGATACGTCTCCCCTTCTGTGGGCCCAACGTGTTGGACAACTTCTTCTGTGATGTTCCCCAGGTCCTGAAGTTGGCCTGCACTGATACTTCTATTGAGGAATGGCTGATGCTATCCAATGGTGGCCTGGTGGCCACCGTATGCTTTGGTGTGCTGCTGCTGTCCTATACTGTCATCTTGGCGATGCTGAGGATGCGTGTGAGCGAAGGCCGGCAAAAGGCCTACAACACTTGCTTGGCCCAGATCACTGTGGTCTGCCTCATATTTGGACCCTGCATCTTCATCTATGCCCGGCCCTTCCAGAACTTTGCAGCAGACAAAGCAGTCGCTGTCCTCTACATAGTTATTATCCCTATGCTGAACCCCATGATTTACACTCTGAGGAACACCGAGATGAAAGGTGCCATCAGGAGGGTGTTCAGCAGAGTCCTGGTGTCATGGAGAGGACTGAGCATGTAAACAAAGAAAGGAGTGGGAAGAAGAGCCATTCTGCTTGGGTGTCTTTTGTGGAGGTCAATGGAAATGGTTTGATTCCGGCGTGGCTGATGTATTCATATTGGTGGGCTGGTGGAGATCCCAGAGGGCTGGGAGAGGTGGGGGTTTGCAGTCGCCCAGCAGTGGGGTTGGGGGTTTGCAGCTGGCTGGAAGCAGGGGCACTTCCTAGCCGGGTTCAACAGCCACGCCTGGTTTGATTTGAAGTCAATGGACATTATTCATCCAAGGCAATGGGAGTCCCTCTCTTAATTCCACTGTTTGAAGAGAGTAATATTGTGGATAAGGTGTCACCCTATCATCTACCACACCTACTTCATGTTGGCCTCAAGCTCCCTGTATGGCCAGAAGCCAGGGGCAGATCCAGTGGGGGTGCAGTGATGCAGTTGCACCCTTCTTTGTCTGTGCTACATGTGAACTCTCAACATGGGGGCCAGCCAGAGCCCCTGCTTTCACGGGGCTCCAATGTCCAAAGGGTGAGAGCTGCCATAGCCACTCACCCCCTCCTTTAGTCCACTGCTGAATTCAGCACTGGTGGGTTTGGGTATTTGGGGTGGGGATCAAAGTCATCAAAGAAGACTGAAATTATTTTTTCAGTGGGAATTCTCCCGTGTCTTCAGTGTTTCCAGTCCTGGAAAAGGAAAAACTAGCCTTCTCATTCTGTTCTTGGCCTAGGAGCCAGGGGCTACCCAGGGCTACTAGAGACTCTCCATGGCCTCTTGGATAAGTCATTTGGTTTCCACATCGGTAAAATAAGGATAGAAATCTCTCCCTCTCTCCTGGAGGGTGCCAGGGACTGAAGAATTAGCAGCTAACCTCAATTGTACAACACATTGTGCCAAGTTCTTACCATTGGACCCCACTCCTATCACAGCAACTGGACATAACCCAGCTTCCCAGCCTGCCTGCTCTTTGAATATTATGTGGCATGGAAAAACAAGAAACAGGGATAGGAGAGTCAGTCCAGACACAGGTGACTTGAGAATGATTTGTTTTGTTGCATACGCGAGTGAATCATCACATCAAGTTCTCTGCCTCCTTGTCTCCCCAGTAACCCAGACCTGAGCGGGGCTGTGGGGCAAATACTCAGTCCCCTTCCATCCCACATTGCCTCTGTTGTCTAGTTACAGCTACTCTGTTGCCTGTCTGGATGGTTTTTAATATGATGGAAGACATTCAGATGGGTGGAGTGAGCCTGTCAATCTGAACAGAATATTAAAAAAATAATTGAAAGTTTCAAACAGAGGATTTTAATTTTTAAGAAAATATTTCTTATTAGAAGTCCATTCCAACAAAAACCTTATCAAGTTATTCCCATTTCATAGATGGGGAAACTAAGACATACAGTGATTAGACCAGCCCTCTTCCCCACCCACTAGTCCACACTCCACTCCCATAAGTAGGAATGTAACTAAGGGTCCTGGTTTCTACTTTCTTCCCTCAGCTCAAAGGACTATGGTAGAGTATAGAGCAACTTGGTCTCAGGACACCAATTTCTTGGGCTCTGATTCTTCATGACACTTGAAGAACTCTGTTCTTTTACATTCTAATTGAGTTCTCCTGGGAGAATTGAATGTCAGGGCCCCAGCTCTAACAGGAGAACAGGGTCTAGAGCAGCAATTCTCAGTGAGGGTACTACGGCACACACAGGTGCCATAAGACCCTTGTAAGGGTGTAGTGGGGAGTAAGAAGGTAAGTGCTCACCCCGGCCTCCACCCTCCTGCCCAGACTCTGTGCTAGGAGGTGAGCACTGTAATAAATACATTTTTGTAATGGGGTGCCACTAAATTTAGAAAATAATGGCAGGGTGCCTTGAGCCTAAAATGCTTTAGAGCCACTGGTCTGGAGCAGCAGTTGGCAACATTTTTCAGTTCAAGTCCAGCAGGCAGTATGGCCTGGTACCTGCCACTGCTTCTCCCTATCATACTTGTAGCAGTGAAAGTCCAGGGTTCAAATCCACATTCACAAGACAACATGTGACAATATTCAGACAAGAATCTCAGGGCCAAAGGAACTCAGATAAAGACATGGTGCATGTTGTTGATGCAGGGACAGCAATTAAATTACTCTTGGGTGCTGCTAACATGACCACCCAAGGCACTATTGGACTAGGAGAGACTCAACATGTGGCAGTCTGGAGAACATCTTGAGCAGATTTTAAGTGATGGAGAACGTGCTGGTGGTGTCATATTCAACAGAAGCAGGGGTTGTCAGCTGCTTCAGCCAAAGGGAGAGAGAAGGCTCTTTCTATAACCCTGAAGTAGTCTCAGCTGGGGCAAGAGGCTTAGGTTGATTACAGAATGAGAGAAGAACAACAGTCTGATAGCACTGTGATGGGAACACTACACTTCAGAGACAGGCAGGCCCTGGACCTATAGGCTAGGGACAGAAGTTACACATATACTGGTTTAAATGATCAGATACTGGTTTAAACCTATAGCAGAACAAAAGTTCAGTGCACATAAACCAGTTTGAAAAGGGCTGAAACTGGTTTAAGATAAACTTGGTTGAATGCAGTATCAGAATGAACTGCCGGAGGTCAAACCAGTTTATGGAACTTCTGTCCCAGACCCCTTCCTGGTTTAAGTTAAATCAGAGTCCCCCAGCATCCCAGCATGCTTTTCAGCCCTGGGCTGGGGTAGGCTGGGCTGGGCTGTCTGCTCCAGAGAGCAAGGCTGGGCCCACCCCCCTCCTCCCTACCCGGAGCACTATTACTGCAGTGGCTGGCTGAGAAGGGGGTGGCGGACTGCAGCTGGGGGCTGCCTGGCAGGAGCACAGCAGCATCTGCCAGGCTTCTGCTGCCTCCCCTCACACCCACCCTCGCTACTCAAGCAGGGTTCCCCCCTCTCCCTACCCCCTCCCATGGCATGAACCCCAGCAGCATGAAACCCAGCCGCATCTGGCCACGCACCCCCCATGCAAGGTAATCCTAAGAAGTGCCTATGTGTGCGTGTGTCCAATTTCACTGGAATGGAGGCAGACAGAACAGTGTCCACTGTGGAACTAATCAGCAGGTCACCTGGCAATGTCTGTCAGCCAGCCAGGGATACAGCTCGCCTTCCCTTCTTCCTGAGCAAGAAGCCAGGGGCTTGTAAAGGCCTTGCAAATGCCTGCACCCTGCAGTTAAGAAGAGCTTAGACTAATGAGAGAGATGCTTTAGTTTTCTTTTGTAGTCAACATGCAGCGCTTGATGGGCTGATAAGCTTTGTGTGCTGATAAGCTCCCTGCTGGCTTGCTTCAAAGCCATTAGAGTGCAGGCATCTCCCCCCCTGAAACCCTTATATCAAATGAAGTTTCACTATGTGGCAATTAATGCTGGTGATGGCCTCTATGCATCAATAACTGACCCTTGTTAAAGTGCAGCTTCCCAGTGTTGCAATCAGTTAGTGTTCAACAGTGGGCAGACAGAGGTGTGAGAAACAACCTGGTTTGCAATGAATGAGACCTGTCAGTGCTGTCAGTTTGAGATTTAGGCAAATATGAAGCACTAGCTAACAGGACAATAAGAAGGTGGCAGCAAATCCACCTGCAACAAATATGTTTACACTGTCACACTGCCCGCAACAACTCTTCGGGAAGTGGCTGTGCACATCCCAAAGAACAAGACAGCAGAGGCACTTGTGACAGGCTTTGGTGCCACTCACTTCCTATCCACAGCTGCACACAGAATGAAGACGCAGGGAGGGAGATTGAAATGCTCATCCAGTATCATCAACAGATACATGCACACCACACAAGCAGCTTCTCCCTCACCCTGTACCCCCTTTGCCTCAGGGTGCTAGTCAGGGACCAGGGTCTGGTAACACTCCCCTGCCCCTTGAGTGGTGAGTGGACAAAAGCCTAGCTTCCCCTTCACCTCCAGGCACACCCCAGCTGGGGACTGTGCAGGCTAGGGTCAGGGTTTAAACCCCTCCCTAATCATAGCAGCCTGCCCAGCACTGTCCTTGCCCCTTCCCCTCAGCTCAGCACAGAGGAAAGAAAGAAAGGGCTGCTCTAGCACCTCACAGCTTATAGCCTGAGCCAGTGCAGGTATGTGCCTGCATTTCCTGAATGAAAAGTCAATCTTTACCCACTTGCAAATTGGTTCAATCTATGCAGGTTACACTAACTTCAAGCTTAGGCTTTCCGAATGCCTCTACTTAGCCTCAAGGACAGGTAGAAAGACAGCCAGAACATCCTAACAAGTTAAGGATAGTTAGTGGGCAGGCAGAAAGGTGGAGAAGGAAGAAGGATAAGAAATATAACAGTTGGATATATTAGAGGGATATTCCGATGGGTACTCACAGAGGTTTCCTGTGCAGGATGGTGACATCCAGGTGTTGGTGTTCATGTTGTATCAGGTTTGTGCACGTCCATCAAATTTGGTTTGGAATATTTTTACACCATCAAGAGAAAATGGCATCCTTTAAGCAAAATCCCACAGATGACCACACTTATTTCCATAAACCCTGCAACCACCCCAAACACACTAAGAAACCTGTGACTTATAGCTAGACTGTCAGATAACAGAGTATCTGCTTTAGGAAAAATACTCATGACCCATCTGACCATTATAAAAACTATCTTTACCAAAAAAGGA